CTTTTACAAGCTTTTGAGATAACAATCCATCTGACAAAACAATGGACCAAATCAAAACATTTCATGCTTTAATTTACAAAAGAGCATGCAACTGTGATTGGGCTTCTGTTTTGAAATGTGAAATTCCAAATTCTTTGTTCTTGGTGAGCCTGTAAAATGAAACTGAATTAACAATTTTTTCTGTTGTGATAAATCCTGTCGACCTGAGTCCCTTAGTACGTCATAATTAAGAGGCAGAAGTTTGCACTTGCCGTTGGCGAAGACATTGGGCACCTTGCAGATGTCAGAACTAGTTACCTATATCGGTCCCTTTTCCGTAATCATACTGCGTGTTTATAAACTTAACTACCTTTTCTGAGGTTTGATCTCTGGGTCAACGGTATGGCAGCTAGCATCTCTAGTCGCTATACAAACCATAGCAGCAAAATAAATTTTGCTTGTCAGAGTTGTTTGGTGATATCATTAACAGTACAGCAATTATATTTTGCCGCTTTTTCCATGAATTTTATTAATTACTTTGTTAGCTGTAAAAAGATACAGTTCTTTTTTTGCGAAACTGTCCGAACTTTCTGAATAAACCTACATATATGTGAAGCGTTTAACATCTGCTTAAACTTATACAATGTATCAACACTTTAATACAATAAATAATTACTGTAAAGGCCCTTATTTTCGCGATTTTCGCGAGCCCGTAGTAATCGCTACAATTTAAGCCTCGCGAAATACTTTTTTTTCCGCCTGAAATAATAATAAAAAATCTGAAATTTTTCACTTACCCAACATTTAATGATTTATTGCACAGTTACAAACTTTTTTTTGACAACTTTCTTATTTATAACTATTTTTTGAATAATATACAACTATATTTCTTGAATATAAAACAATAAAATTAATAGAAGGCAGCTCATTCACTTAGAATACAGTTTATACCAGCTTCTTTGAAGCCATTCAAAATTATCTCATGTTTGGCTTCAATACCGTTAAATACACGCACAGGCCAAGAAGCGTGAAACGGTTTTAGTCGTGATATTCGCAAGTCCACAGATTCTTTTTCCTCTAGAAATTGAAGTTCATTAGAATGCCACTCAATAAACTCATTCTTGAGCAAACGCTTGAACTCGCCATTTTAGTTAACGGGAACGGTTGGGCTCTCTTGGAACGAACTTTTCGGACAAAAACTGGAATGAATTCCTCTTTCTAGTTAGTCAAAAAAGAGGCTGGTTATGCAAAAAATGTCGAACTTTCAATGGAATTTTTCAACTTTCTCAACTTTAACTTAGGTACTTTTAGAAATATTTTTAAACTTTCGGTTCTGTTCATATAAAATTCGCGAAATTTTCAACTCGCGAAATCACCGATATATTCATTTTCGCGAAAACTACGGCCCGCGAAAATAAGGGCCTTTACTTATTAACTTATTTACTTATTAATTGTACTTAAATTAATATAAGTATGTTTTTGTGCATCAACATACAAAAAAAAATATATATATACAACTGATCATTACTTTCTTTAGAACTAAGCTGTCATTTTTGCAATTTGCAAAAAATGCATTCTTTAAAAATATATACTATTGCCATTTAAACAATTATTTAAATTCATTACTATTTCCAATTATAAAACATTTAGTAACGCATAGTTTCAAGAGTAAGCATAGTGAGTTTGAAAAAAATCTTCAAATTACACTAGTTTTTAATTCAATATTAAAATACACTAAGGTTTTATGATCTTTCCAGACTGAATCTTTGAGAAATACTTGAATGGATAAAATAAAATTGTTTAAAAGTAACTTCCGGTTGAGTTTTGTACCACGTTAATATGTATTCAATGAATTTATTTATGTCCGCAAGTCGGATTCTTTTGAAGCTTTCGAAGTTTGAGATGAGTAGTTGAAAACTGATTAATGCATGCTATTCATAACCCCCAATCAATTAAAGCGTGTAATTGCCAAGCCAACTGGGAATTTTCGCTTTTTGTTGGCGTGCCCTGTCATTACAGGGGATCACAATTTGACGCTAATTACCTCAATCTTAGAAAAATTATCGCTGATGTAAAATCAATAAATCTTCCTTCGCGAGAAATATCCATTGGTGGCTTGTTAAACGCAAATTACGAGTAATTTTACTTCTTATTTTGTGTGGAGATATCTAGATCTCTGTTTAAACTAACAAAGATAATTTAAACATTAAACATTTAATTATTTTATGTATTTTGAAGGTTTAACATGCTCAGCTTTTTAGTTTTAATCACGATGATTCTCGACATATTTGTTCAAAGAACATAGAATCTGTTAACAACCTGGTCAAAATGACTTTTTGTAGTTACTAGACATGTCCTGACTCATACTGTAGGGTGTTATTTCAGTTCTTATTTATGTTTCCAGTCTGGATTTTCAGGGAGAAGCCAAAAGTAAGTTGGCGCCAGCTCAGAATAATTAGAAGCTCGAACCAGGTTGTTTTCCTTATATGTACAATCTGAGGAACAGAGCTCATTACTTCATAAGAAGAATATAATTTCTCTGATTATCATTTTTTTGGGGGGGAGGGGAGTTAGCAAGTTGGGTATTGAAAACTTTCAACCGTCTTTGATTCTGTAGACAGATAATAACTGATTGTCTAGTTACTATAGCTGGCAATATGATAATATCTGGGGGCAACATAGTAATAATACTATCTATCTATATATTTAAAGAAGACAATATATTTGTTTGTCCTCTAATAACTCAGTCACTACTATAGCTACCGTCACCAAACTTTCTTGTATGGGTTCTGGAAAACGTCGACGTCGAATTTTTCAAAAAAAAAAAAAAAAAAAAAAAAAAAAAGGTAGCTAAAATCAGAGATATTAATTAAAACCTCGGTAAAACGATAATTTTCGTCATAATTTTTCCGAGTGGCAACAGTCTGGCAAGCTGGAGATGAAAATCTGCGTTTTTTCGAAATTGTTGCCACTGCTCTCTTTCAAATCCTAAAGTTTGCTTCTAACTTTTACGAGGAAATAAAAATAGCATTGCCAAACATTAAATACATTATTCCCGATTCCAAAAGTTCATAGAAAGCCATTTCGACTATTCTCCTCTTTGTGCGACTTTAATCAGCCGAAATATTAATTGAAAACTCTGGAAGCGCTAATTTTGCACTCATTTATCCGACTGGCAACAGTCTAGCGCGTTGGAGGTAAAAATGCTTTATTTCGAAAAGTGTTGCTACTGCTTGCTTTCAAATCGTAGAGTTTGTTAATCAAAAATTTGTGATTTTTAAAAAATCTATCTATATAAAGAAGAATGCCTGTGTGACTGTACGTTTGGTTGTTTGTTCGCGTTATTGATTTCTGATGAATTTTTTACCCCATTTAATATAATAAAATTGAATTTAGGTGACATATTGGATGGAACTTGAGCTTTTACAACCATTTGATTAGAAAGACGAAAAACAATAAAAACTGCGTGCCATTGTTGCTGATAAGAAGGATAACTTAGCAGAGAGAGAATTAGCTTATTGAGGCAGAATTAGCTTATTTTCCTTTCGAAAGTTTTTATGTGAGTTCTACCGGGTGATCAAAAAGTCAGTATAAATTTGAAAACTTAATAAATCATGGAATAATGTAGATAGAGAGGTAAAAATTGACACACATACTTAGAATGACACGGGATTTTATTAGAACCAAAAAAAAAAAAAAAAAAAAGTTCAAAGGTACTGTTATCGGGCCTTTTTTCTTCAAAGAAATGCGTGATTCTGGTTTTGTAACTGCTACCGTGACGGGTGAGAGGTACGCCGATATGTTACAGAATCACATCGTCCCCAGCCTGGCTGATAAACACCTGCTGGAACGTACGATTTTTATGCAGGATGGCGCTCCACCCCGTATTGCTAGAAAAATTAGCAACGCCTTTGCCGGTAATTGAACCAAGGACCTCTGGAATACGCTCCCAGCATGCAGACCACTACACCATGAAGGCACGCAAAGAAGGCGAGAAAAATGCCTCATAAAGTGATGCAGAAATCGCATGTATACATATTCGAGAACTGCCGAAAGCAGTTTAGTGAGAACTATGTTAGAAGTGCATATATCGTCTCAAAAGTTACATACAAAAATTTTCTCAGGTTCTCGAAGATACTGTACTTTTCTATTATTTTTGTCAAAATTTCGTTTTTAGTTGCTAAAATAGATAAAAACTGTTTTGGTTTTGCCTGTTAAACGTGAGGAAAGCTAACCATCTATTTAAATTAACAAAAATAATTTAGGTTTGTAGTTAATACTTTCTTTTGCTGACTTATGAAAGATCTCTTGCGCGCGTCGTTTGGTGATTGATGATCGTGTGCTCAGCCGCCACTTTCGTCATGCTTGGCCTCCCAGGTCCCAAGACTTCAGTCCGTGCGATTATTGGCTTTGGGGTTACCTGAAGTCGCTAGTGTATCGTGATCGACTGACATCTCTAGGGATGCTGAAAGACAACATCCGATACCAATGCCTCACCATAACTCCGGACATGCTTTACAGTGCTGTTCACAACATTTTTCCTCGACTACAGCTATTGTTGAGGAATGATGGTGAACATATTGAGCATTTCCTGTAAAGAACATCATATTTGCTTTGTCTTAATTTGTTATGCTAATTATTGCTTTTCTGATCAGATTATTGCTTTTCTAAGTATTGCTTTTCTAATAAAACCCCATGTTATTCTAAGTATTTTTGTCAATTTTTACCTCTCTATCTACATTATTCCGTGATTTATTAAGTTTTCAAATTTATCCTGACTTTTTGATCACCCGGTATATCGCAAGAGACTGAAAAATGTATGACTATAAATCGTACCTTTTTGCGTCATTATTAGAGAAGGATTACAGGGGTATCTCTGTTGTTAGATGCATTACTCTCAATCTGACTTAACTGGCATCGGGTACTTCCAACAGAACATGAATAATCACAACACCTAACTTAAATATTAATAAAAAACCATTGTTTTAGTTGAAAGATATTAGGATTTTCTTATGACTTACCTATTGTCTTTGCTGCTTGAAGCCTGAGACGTAACTGACCCCGTAGAGCTAAAACTGTTTCTGGGAGAATTTCCAGGAGATTTTGAAGACGAGACATCATCATCCACCAGTAGCTGCCATTCTGAAAACAAAGCCAAATCAAAATTAGAAACATGCCAGTAGAGCACCATGACCAATTAAAAAAAACGTATATATTTTGTTTTTGAATTTTGGACATAAGCCAAGAAAGCTCAGTATTATAAAAAAAATAACTTGTAGAGATATTAGGTATTTTTTGGAAGCAGAAGACATGAAAAATTAGCAACGCCTTTGCCGGTAATTGAACCAAGGACCTCTGGAATACGCTCCCAGCATGCAGACCACTACACCATGAAGGCACGCAAAGAAGGCGAGAAAAATGCCTCATAAAGTGATGCAGAAATCGCATGTATACATATTCGAGAACTGCCGAAAGCAGTTTAGTGAGAACTATGTTAGAAGTGCATATATCGTCTCAAAAGTTACATACAAAAATTTTCTCAGGTTCTCGAAGATACTGTACTTTTCTATTATTTTTGTCAAAATTTCGTTTTTAGTTGCTAAAATAGATAAAAACTGTTTTGGTTTTGCCTGTTAAACGTGAGGAAAGCTAACCATCTATTTAAATTAACAAAAATAATTTAGGTTTGTAGTTAATACTTTCTTTTGCTGACTTATTTACTTAGCACTTTCCGGTGCAACAATCGATGTGTTTCTTCATTCAAATAATTTCCCATAATACATGTCATATTTATTCTTAAAAATTGTAAAAATAAATTTTCATCATTAAGTTATCTAAGAGTTTTTAATTGCTCCGAAGACATTATCTTAGCGCCCGTAATCTTTTCTTGATATTTATTTAGGAGTAAGAACACATCTGGGGACATGTCAAGGATAGATGACAAGATGCAGCTCGAACCAAACTCATTCTGAGATATTAACGATGGGACAGTCTACATTGCAAATGTTACTCAGAAAAGGATATGCCGCCTGAAGAACCGTGTTAAAAATGCCAGTTAGTATTTTGAAACGCATTTAATAACTGGGATTTTAATTAATTATAACAATAATAATAAGTCACCATTTATCTAAGCAATGCTTCTTCGATTGTTAGAGAATCAGTAAAAATGAAACGGTTTTTCTTACCCTTTCCCCTTCTTTATGAGAACTGTAAAAATAAATATTACTTTTTACACTTTAGAGTGTTGAATTTAAAAAAAAAAACTTTCTTAAATTTTCTTAAATATAAAGTAGAAAATTATCAAAAGAACGCACTCTTTTTTAATTACAATTCTCATATTTAATTTTTTCTTAATTTCGTAGAACTCGTTTGGGAAATAATATAGGGTATTACTTTCCAGTGACCTAAGCACGGCAGATATTTTTTCACATTTAATAGGTTTAAATTTTATGTCACTTTAATCCAAAAATCAAATAACTAACGTGAGGATAAATTAAAATCGCTTTTCTCCAAACGTTGAATGTTATGTTAAACATATGGTTACGAATTTTGCTTTTAGTTACATATATTTTATAGATTTATAATTAAAATTGTTTTATTTCTCCGCGAAATGCAGCGCGTGACATATTTTAAGAGAAAGCTACGCCGAAAAATTAAACAAATACAGGAACACATGCATTTCACACTGAATAAAAGTTTATCTCGGTAATTTATATTTAATTCGAATAAATGTGATTGACTAAGTTCTTATTTGTAACCGTAATTCTACTCTTTTTGCTTCGCAGAAATTGCTAGAACTATCCCGTATGGCCGATTTAAAGAGATATAAAAGTCGGAGAGAAACATCTCAGTTCAATAGTTATTTAGATAACTGTTGTTGTTGACTGCAGAAAATTCGCGGTGAGATCGGATTAGCTTTCTCTGCGCTCTGGATTACGTTCTATTTGACGTTTTAGTAGTTTAAAATACAGCTACTGATTATATTGTGTGATATTGCGATATTGTACGAATGTCTTTGAGGAAAACCCTAGCGTTTTGTTACATTTCTTGTGATAAGAATATTTTTTTAAACTTTTTAGCGGACTTGTGCATTCAATCTGTTACGAACCCGTACGCACGCAACACGTTTTGGTGTCAGAAGTGGGATTTGAATGCCAATCTCAAGAGCGATGGAAGAACAACTGAGGCAGTTGGTGATTGCATTTGCTGCATTCGAAGAAAAGATGGAAGGGAGCCGTCAATTCCGTTAAAGTAGAAATGAAAGCGAGCCAAGAAAGGTTGAAAGCTAGTCAAGGATCAGTTAAAGTAGTAATGAAAGCCGGTCAAGAATCCATTAAAGAGGCGATGAAAGCGCGTCAAGTATCTGTTAAGGAGTTAATGAAAGCTATTTAGGAACCTGTGAAATTAGAAAAATGTGAAAGTAGAAATGAAAGCTGTTCAAGAAAATAATGAAGCAGGACAAGAAATGATGAAAAGAGAAATTACTTGCATAATAGAAAATAAATTTGAGGTTACTGAAGCGGAATTGATGTGGTTGAAAATAAATTTGGATACACGGAAGAAAGAGTTCCTTCGGTAAAAGAACAAATAGAAGAAACAGTTTCTTCTGTAAAAGATCAAATATAAAAGAGAGTTTCTGCCGCGGAACAACAAATTAATGACAGGGTTACTACGTTCGCCAAAGAAGTGTATTACCTTGAAGAAATTCGTACCGACGGCAGGGAGCAATAGCAGGAAGCAATCAAACAGAAAAGGCCTGAAATCGCAAATCTGAAAGGAGTCACGTTCCACCACGGAAATGCGAGCTCTCTCACAACTTTAGCAACAATAATGAAATTATTGGAGCTTCATTGGGACGTGATGTCACATTACCCATATAGCCTCGACCTTGCATCTTTGTATTATCATCTATTTCGAAGTTTACAAAACTTAACTGGTAAAAATTACAGTATTAATAATGACCTCAAATTGCACTTGGTTGAGGTTTTTGGCGATGAAGACCAGAAATTCTATGAACGCGGAATCAGTTACAAGAAAATGGTTATGAAAGAGGAATTTACCAGAAAGATGATAAGAGATCATACAACAAAATGGTTAAAGTTAATTTTTTGTGCAGACAAAAATTGAGTTTTTTTCCCACACTAAGAAACCGAAATTACGTTCTTACCAACCGGAAAATATTCTTAAGAACTGAAGCTGTTGTATATGAATAGTTTAATTTGTTAATTAATTAAATTTAAAAATTAAATTTGACTAAATTTCAATTAACGTTTTGTCTTTTGGCAGCAGTCTCTGATCAAAAATGAAACAACGCATTAAAGTGTAACAACACAAATTCGCTTTAAACTAATGATTAATAGCCGTTTCGGCTTAATAATAGGATAACTGGCTAATAAATATAAAAACTTTAAGAACTTAAAGCAGGACACCTTTGTGAAAGTTTTAGCCGTGGTTACTGCTCATCGATCTGGTATAAAGGTGCCGTCATCTTTATGATGGCGATCAGACATGCAGCGGTTTTGCAGTTAATATCATTTCGACATGGTCTGCGACAACGTAATCACTTAAGTATTTTATTTTGAATGGGGAGAGGCTACAATTTTCGTTACATAAATGGTAAATTTTCAATTCAACATTAATAATTTAATTAACTATTCATTCAAGATTAAATTCTGAGCATTGAATATTTTATTCACATAAATTTGGAAGAAAGTTTAAAAATTCGGACCGTAGGATATTTCCTTCGGTACTTACACAAGCTATCAACATAAACATAAAAGATTCTCTTCAATAATTCTTATAAAGTTGATTAAAAAAAGTAGCTGCATTCTAAAACATCCATATACAATTAGTGTCGAATGCAGTAGTATAATAATCGAACACTAAATGGTAGGAGATTAAATTTTAAAAAATACTGTTACGAATTTGGTGTATATGTGTAAATAATTTTAGAAAAATTATGTTTAAATTTAAATTTAAATAGTATCGCTTGTGCAGTGTAACATGAAATCTTGCAGAATGTAACTCAAGAGTGAAGTTTCGCCAAAAAATTAAGGTTACAGGGGCACGTCCATTTACCATTGAGGTAAATGGTTATCTCGCCTAATTTGTGAGATGATGTCAAACTGGCGATGGTTTTGGTGACTAATATTGCCGCCAAATTTAGGGAGAAATCGCCACACTATCGCCAAGTGGGGCGACCTTTCATGACTTTCTTTTCCTGCACCGGTATATCAGTAATTGGCACTGTAACTGAATAACTGTATGTACTATAGCCTTTTATGCCCCTTATCTGTAACTTTAACCGTATATGCACTCCAGTAATTTCGAGAAATCGAAGGTACTAGAAATTCCTCAGCCGGGTGAAAATTATATAAGACAGGAGAGACCACCAGTTCTCAATTTTTAATTCAGAGTATAAAAAGATCTTCATGCGAGTTTCGCTAATTAGATGCATTTGCATTGTGTTGTGTTTAACCTTCTTGATGTTGGTGTATGTAATTATGGCGAAGCCTTGAGGGTTATGTGCCTAAGAGGAGGGATGTCTTCATGGAGGACGTTTTAAGGGAATTGGCTGGAATACACTCTACACATAGGGAAAACCACGAAAACGCCCATGCAGCCAGCATGTTTGCGCGATTTGAACCTCGGACCGAACTACCATTGTTCAGCGACTTTACCGTTCGGCCGCTGGTGGGTCTTTAACGTTCTTAGTAGTTTAAAGTGGTAATTACTTATTGTGCTCTGTCATACTGAGAAGAGTTGTACGAGTAATTGTGAAGAAAGTTCCAGAACTGTAGAGTGTTTCTTTTGGGAAAATAAATTTTATTAAGCTATCATCGGTTCTGTGCGTATTCAATCCATTACGAACCCGTCCATTATATTATGGAATGTAAATATTAATGAGGAGGTAAACAGTGTAATGCATTTTTCAGAAGCTGAAAATAACCTTGGTACCTCCGATTTTAAACTTGTGACACATAACTCATTTTTTGTAATCGTTTTAGTGCATATAATTTAAATCGAACAAACAACGACAATTAAAGAAATGCAATTGACATAATTTACTCTGAAAGAAAAACAATACTATCTCAAGGTCTAATTTTAAGAAAGAATTGGGAGCATTATTTTTTTGGAAAGTA